TCTCTCTGCCTTCTGTCCTGCATGGTCAACACTCTTGCCACTCCCTAACCTGGGAGCAGGTGACTGGTGGTCCCAAGCACACTGCGGGCTGCCCCCTAGGGCACTCAGAGCTGTCTTGGCAGAGGTGATGGATGAAGACCAGCTGCCCTGCTGCGTCCATATCTGATTATTCACCATCTTTCTCCTCCTAGGAGACCCGTTACTATCCAACACCTTCACTGAGACTGGCAGCCACTGGCCACAGGGACCTACTGGGCCCCCAGGTCCTCCAGGGCCTATGGGTAAGCCAAGTCAGACTTGGGGTAAGGAGTAGAGTTGGTAGAGGGCAGGTACTAGGGTGTGAGTGTCAGGATAGGAGACCTGGCACTGTGCCCTTTTCTAGCCCTGAGGACTCCTGTTTTATTCCAGGTCCCCCTGGACCTCCTGGGCCCACTGGTGCCCCTGGGAGCCCTGGGCACACGGTGAGTCGTTCTCCAAGTGCTTCCGCACACACACTCACCCATTCTTCCATCCGTCCTTCCTTTACTTCATTCAACACAAACTGATCGACCATTTAATGCAGACCACCTCCCATAAATCTTTCCATGGAATCCATGCGACACGAAGCAAGTTATGATTATTGCCTAAGGGCAAGAGAAGCCAAGGTTCTTTCCCTGAAGCTGTGGCCCGCATGTGGCGGTGTCCAGCTCTGGGGAAGAGATGCGGTCAGACTCCTGCCATCTGACACTGAGCTATGTGAACTGCCCGCTGTGTACCTGGCCCAGGCCAAGTTGGGGTTCCCTCGACCCTTCTGCCCTCAAGCCTGCTCCACCCTACCCCGTACAAAGCTCAGCTCTTGTCTTGTTGCTCAGGGACCCCCAGGCCCCATCGGACCCAAAGGAATCCCTGGCCACCCAGGAGAGAAGGGCGAGAGAGTGAGTACCCAGGCAGCCCCAGACGGGGTCCGGGGGGTCCGGAGGGCCTCAGGTCAGAGACCCTGACAGCTGATGTCATTCCTTTCCTCCCTCCTGCACAGGGACTGCGTGGGGAGCCTGGTCCCCAAGGTTCTGTGGGACAGCAGGTAAGTGATACTGGCCACCCTCAGCTACCCCTGCAGGGTCCCACAGGCCCAGACTCGCTCTGGCTTCATACCCTGGAACCAGAGCCCCTAGCCCTTCTTGTTTGGTCCAGCGTAGCTCCTTCTCCTCTCATTTACTTCCTCTCTCTGAGACCCTTCATCCTCTCTGTATCAGCCTACCTCCATCTTCCTCACTCTGGCTCTCTGCGTCTCTGTATCTGTGTGTGTGTGTGTGTGTG